GCCAAAACCGAAAAGACTTCCACAAATGCTTGAAGCGGTGCTTCATGCATACAGTTGTTCTGATGTAACAGAAAGGCAAGTAGAAATATGACAATAGTCAGGATGTCTTGTCCTTGTATATAGTCATGGGAAGTTCTTGATCTTCGATATGCGAAGATAAGTACGCTTGTGGGCACTGCATGTATATATAAGTATGCATTTTCCCTTTTTGAGTTTGCCTTTAAGGCGCTCTTTTGATAGGATTTGCCTACGGATGCGAGTTTGATATTTAATTTTTGTTTACTAAACACAATTTCATGAAAAGGCATTTGGTGCTTTTGACCAATATAATCATTTTTTATTGGTGTAGTTGGTGGTTCTAGCAAGTTCATAAGCATTGTTTGGTGTGATGAAATGAATTGATTTGCATATACCAAATGTCTATTAGGCCATTTCATATGAGTGTGAATATGGGCGTTGCAACATCAAGTAATTCAACAAAAGTTTTGTCATGAATTACCACATGACATTGTATCAAGAAGCTTTCATACATGCGGCATCAGAAGTGATGTTCCATTAGTCAAGGCATAAAGCTTCATTATTTGGGATGGAGTTGCTCTCTCTCAGTAACATGACTATTAAATTGTGGGGGTCAAGACCTATGTTGAAGGAAATAAAGAGACTTCGAAGGTATTAGAATACTTTGCATAGTCACTCTGATAGGCCAAAGCCTAAACTCAAACAGGGATGACATTCCCTTTATGAGGGTTCCAAATCCGTCATCCATGGCAATTTGAAAGTAGGCTTAGGATGAAAACCAAGAAGTGATTTGCCTAGAACTGAGTGGTGAGACATATTAAGGCCTAAAATGATAGATAGAGTCTAATATAAGAAGATAGAGTCTATATCTTAATCATTTCCTACTTCTTAAACTACAAAATGTGATCAATTCAACGATAAAGTTAAGAATTAACCACAATTATGAATGAATTATGGGGGTTCACTTATTTATCTTTGAAATATGAGATTTGCATAAGAAGAATGGAAATGTAATTTGCTAATTGAGCGAGACAATCAAAATGTCATCTCTTGTACTGAGTAATTGTTTAAGGTATGACAAGGTTAGAGACCATCTTACAAATACCTTAAATGTGGGGAAAGTACTTCCTCGTATTAGCAAATTACTTACAAAAGTCCCAACATATATATACTTTTGAGGACTTAAAATTAAGAAACAACTACTCTCATATGAAATATAATTTCATAAGATAGATTGTGCACATCATTAAAGATAGTCAACCTTAGTGGTACCAATTATTAAAGGTTTGACTAGAGAGTAAGTTGATTATCGAGGGGAATGAGGCTAAAGCCAACATAACTAATGAATCAGCTGGGCAGAAACCTAACTTAATAGATTGGAGATCCCATGGTCTAAGTTCAATAGGCAAACTGGTTAGGCATGATTCAAAGAAGTTAACACACTATATACCTCATTCCTATGGTGGAAGAAGTGTGTTGTCTGCAGAAGTTTTAGTGTGTATATTTTTACTTAATGACATGATATCTTATAAGTAAAAGGAATATAGCAAACTATTCTTAATCAGTGGTCACCTACGTGAAAGTAGAAGTGGGTCGCTTATATGAGAATTAGATGGCTAAATTCACTAAAGCTTTCATGAATCCGGGATTTGTTTAGGACCAAAATGAACACAACTGTATAAACCGTAATAAATTAGGATTAGTGATGTGTGTTGCTTATTGTCTCGGTTTACTGCTGTGGTGAACAGTTCAAGATCTTCCACATCCATTGCGTCACCAAGTAAACCCAATAAGTATTCACTAGGGTAGGTTCAAGTCCAAAGAACACCTCTCCCGATGCATCTTTTGTCTGCCTGTACTCTCTAATTCTTCCCAAATTTTCATTCATGTGGGGGATTGTTGGATATTTAATATTATAATTTTCAATTAGTTTGAATGAAAAAATTAGTTTGCAAAGTGTTTCATGCAGAGAATGCAACACTTGCCATGTAGTATTTAAAACATAATAGTTGTAACTTTTCCCTAATTTACTTACGGTTATGTAATTTACTTACGGTTATGTCATAGCTAATTGGTTGTCATGGTTATAGAAGTGGTGCCAACCGCAAAGCATTTGTAGAGTTAGTCATGCTGTTTAGAAAAAGGCACTTGGGTTCTATATAAACCTAGTAACACTAAGCCATGAGAGAAGTAGAAAATAACAAAATTAATTACTCTTGAGAAATAGAGTTTTCCCACTCTGTTTCTTTCATTCTTCGTTTGTCTTTCGAGTCGTGTCTTGAGAGTACGGAATATATAAAGTTGGTCAGAGTTCGAAGATTAAAGTGCTTTGACTTCGGATTATAGATTGTTGAATCCTGGAAGACGGACGCCTACCGAACTACAAACATAAGAGTAGGGGCAAAATTCTGTATTTAGGACATTGCATTTATGCAAGCCTCAATATCTAAGTTTGTTAGTATTTCTAACTTTCTCTCTAATTGTTTATATTAATCTTATATATAATTGATGTTGTGAATTTCTTTATGATTATTATTATTGAAATTCTTGTGTTATTTTCATATTTTTTATTATTGCTCTTCAGTTTTGTTTTCGGCTAGCTCGAAACGAGGAGAAAAGAACCGAGCTTGAGCTTTGGTACGTAGGATCACAAAGTTCAATTCTTGAACATAAGGGATGCATTGGACTGAACTATACCACATACCTCATCTTCTACCTCAGTTTTCCCTAAAACTTAAGCATACGCTATCAAAATTAATGGAGGTTCATTATACAATTTGTATACATTTTTTTTCTATGTTAACTCCCTAATCACAACGTATACCGTATATGTACGTTCAAAGATTTCTAAGGTAAGAAACAAAGATGGGTATATTCCTAAAACGATTTACCCATTCTCTCATAGTCCTTTATTAAACTAGTAATATTTGACCTAATAATTTTCAAGAGAGAGAATAAGGGGTGAGCATCAAATGTGCAACTTCTCCAACATACATCTTGTACTAGTACTTGTTCCAACCTCATGTTAATACAAGCAAAATGCGCCTTGGGCTTTGTATTTTTGGGCTTTGACTTTTGATTTTAATGAAATTCCAAATGCATGATCATCTATTGTTAATTCGCAATTTCTAGTGCGGACAACACTTTGCAGACCGCACGTGCGGACGAAACGTAGTTCACTGGATGAACATTGAATAGCTGAAAACGAATTCATCATAATGAGCTTAGGATAAACCACAATTAATTGTATTTTCTTGTGAGAAATCAGATCATGTAACCAAGATTCTATTAGCGTAACTATCCAACGAGTGCATATCACTTGTCCAAGTATCCAAAGTGAGATAAAAAAAATCATTTAATATGGTGATGGGCACTATGTGGCCCTAAAAAGAGCAATAAGTCGGTAATAAGCAGATACTAGAGGCCACTATGGAACGGTGATGCCACTACGATGGTGTCTTCATCAGAAGATAGATTTAGACTCCATTTTGAGCCTTGTTCTTGAGCCAAAATCTAGGATAGTTGGCATAAGAAAAGGGCGCATGCTATGCCTGAAGTTTGGAACTGTTGTGATAGAACCCTAATACGTAAAAGGAAGAAAGTGCAGAAAAAGGAAATAAAAGCAAAGAAATTAAAATTCATTCATTTCATTCATGCCTTTCAGTGAAGGTTCATAGTCTTATATCATATTTGGTAGAAGCCTAGAAGCATCTAATTCTCAAACCAAATGTCATTAGATTCAAAGATTGTCTAACATGATATCGGAGCTCTAATTACATTCAATCTTCTCCACATCTAAAATCTAAATGTCCCTTCACGCACAAAACGAGATATGGACATAGGAAGGAGGATGTTGGCTTTGGTTTAGGGTCATTTCAATTCTACCAATCACATGCTTGAATCACGCAGCGAAGTTTTAGTCATTGATGCATTTCGTCCAACACGCGGTTTGGTTTTTTTTTTTTTTTTAAGTTTCATGGTGGTATACTTATGGAAATGGTGTACCTAATTTCCAAAGGATGGATTTACTACAAGTTCATCCAATTGTGAAATGAATTGGAGCACTTTTGAGGGGATACATACAAAGAAAAAAAATAAATTAGATACAACAAGGCTAAACAATTTAGTCTATATCCAATCCAATGCAAGGATCATGAACAAGAAAAATATAGTTTATCATCCAAGAATACTTCTCGTTATGATTATATGCTTACTGTTTTTTAAATATTGAACTTGTTGGATGGATGTACTTGGTGTATTCTTCTACTTCTATTTTTTCATTTTATCATTCTTTTATTATCTATACAAGTATGGTTTTTTTAAATGTAAATATGCACTTATTCACAAGATATATAATAAATTTACATAAATCCGCCTAAACGCCTGCCTAGACCCCGCCTAGCTGCCTAGGCCCCTTGCCTGCCATCCAACTAGCTAGCGTCTAGCGGTTTTTAGGACCTTGTCGCCAGCTAAAATGTGTGGCATATATGTCAACAAATATTAACATATGTCGAAGTATGATGATGGGTGTTATCAAGAGAATTTATCTAGTACTCTTGAAGCAACATGCCGAGTGCTACCAATATATACCTAGCATGCATTACACCAAACACTCAGTGGGCACAAAAAACTCATACCAACATTTGAAGGGTTCTCGAAAGATCTTCCCATGTATGTGCATCCACCACTACGTACATACATATACAAAAATGAAAAATATAACATCGGACTCACTTATCTGTCTAAGGTTTTTATGGTTTTGATAGGATGTTGGTTTATTATTTATGGTTTGGGTAAACATATTGAACTTGTGCATGCAAACCCTAAAAGATCATCCCTTTTAGGCAAATAATAATTCCACATTCAAAAACAACAACAATTTTTTGGCCACCGAAGATAATTTTGCGCGCCAAAAGTTCATAATCCATGCACCTCAAAATTTCTTAAAAATTAAAAGAGAGTAAATAATAAAATTCAGGAAGTAAAAAATGTACTTCAACTAAGCTCAAATATCATAATCAAAGTTAGCTGACATTAACCTTCATAATCCATAATTAGGGTGGCAACTTAGCCACACCCCCACATGCGCCGGGCCTACACATTCTTACAGGCCCAACAACATTTTTTAATAAAAAAACTACAAAAACTCCTCTCACCAACAAAAAAAAAAACGAAAATTAAATTCCAAATGGGGCTTTTTGCCCTTCTCTTTTTTTTTTCACATTTTCTCTCCGATTTTTGTTATTTCTAATTTAGATGTAAAATTACTAAATTAGAGTGGCGCACACGAACAAGAAGGGCACCTGATGAGACCGTTTTCGTTGCACGACGTACAACTCTTGAAGGCGTTCTTCCCAGAGTACAACTTGTGACTGCCGCTACACACGTCGCACAGAATAAATCTGTACCCGCCGCACGTGTCGCATAAGCCCGGTTCCTGTGCGGGCAAGCCTTCCACGAACTTCTTGAGCTCGCCGGCCTCGTGCAAATTTCTCACCTCGTCGGCCCCACCTACGTACCTCCCGCCAATGAAAACCCTCGGCAATGTCAACTTAGTTTGTTGACCGAGAATCTGCTGCAGCTCGGTTAAGAACCGGTGGTCCATCGCTAGATCTCGTTCGTCCAATGATACGCGAAGCCCTCGGAGAATCGATCGGACGGTCTTACAGTCCTCGAACGTAGGCCGCACGACACGTAGGCTCGTGAAGTAAACGACAATGCGCTTCTCCGCCCCCGGGATGGAGCTGATGGACGGCTCAGATTGTTTTGTGGAGATTCCATCGTCGGGTTGGGGTTTGGGCTGGGGCTGGGCGGGTGGGCGAGTTGACCAGGCGCGGAGGAGGGAGTTGGCGACCCGGACGCGGTGGAAAATAGCGGAGGCTTTTTTGGTGGCGGCGGCGGTTGTCGGTTGTAGAGAGTGGTCGTTGGTTTCGTCGGCGCAGAGGTTTTGGATGTCTTTGAAGGAGGAGAAGGAGAAGGGGGAGGATGGGGATTGCGTGTCGTGAATCTGAACCGTTGATTTGCTCCACGACCGCCACATTTGAGGGTTGGGATCAGAAGTTGGACTTTGGCTAGCAAAAACCCAGATGAAGAACTGATAAAAGATAGAAACTTTACGAATCGGGTTGAAAAACAGAAGAAATATGAATTGGGTTTGCTCTGTCTTTTGATTTTATGGAATTTTTTGGGGGGTTTGATGTTGGTTTCTGGGTTTTGCTTTGCTTAAAGCAAAGGCCTTGGTGATTGAAATTTGAAAGGGAGATCTGCAAAGTTGTGGAGAGCTTTCTATAGAGAGAGAGAGAGAGAGAGAGAGAGAGAGAGAGAGAGAGAGAGGAGGGAAGGGAGGGATTGGATTGCATAGATAGGTAAAATGATGGGGTTGTAGGGTTGGGGGGTTAGGCAGTTGGTTAAGTTAGTTGAGAGAGGTGGTGTGTTTTGTTTATTGCCTTAATGGGGGTTTAGGGGGGAAGGGGAGGGATGAGAGGTTGTAATTAGTGAGATGGGTAATTGGGATTTAGAGCCTAATTATAGATGAGAGGTCCTGTGTTTAGGAGATGGGTAACTTTTGCCTAATTTTCCATAGAAAAATTTTGTATGTGGACCTGGTCAAGATTGTTCCTTGTATGTTTTGTGTCACACAACTATGGCCTATATTTGGGGACCTTTATTTATCTTGGGTGGATTCAGAATGGGGTTTAGAGGGAGAAAATTGCTTGAGCAGACAAGAGTTGGTAATGACTGATGACTGATGCTAAGACATTTTTAAGCTTGAGTTGCGCTTAACATGACTGAAAACGCTTCAAAAATATTCTGAGATTTGTTTTGGAGTTTACTATTTAATCAAGCTTGTGCATTTATTCTTATTCATTTATCAAATTTGATGTTTATCGATTCATTTACTTTTACCATGGTAGACATGCGTGAATTTTACAAATTTATAGTGAATTTTACATTGAGAAGTACACAAGTTGAAGATAAATTATGGTTCGTTTGGAAGTACTTTTTAAAATGACTGAAAACGTTTTTAGAGAAGATGTTTTTAAGTTTTAAAAGCACTTAAAGTGTTTCCTGTAAAAAACATTAGTTTTTCGAGTATTTTTCTAAGATTCACTTGCACTTTTGCTTAGAATTGATATCAAAGACATTTTCACTAAAAAAGATTTCAATCATTTTAAAATACTTTCAAACCAGCATTTAGTATAGATGTGTGTGAATGTTAATGTGAGATTTAAGGTACATGCCTATGCCTTTAAAGCTACATGCCTATGCCTTTAAAGCTTTGTATCAAAAGCATGTGCTTATTTATCTAAATGACCAGCACAAGATCCTGCTAAGCAACAGCTTATTTAGATTATTCTGGAACCATATATTTAGGTAGGGTGGTGGTGGATCACGCTTACTCGTAAGCTTAAATTATTCAATCACAGGAGCGTGCTGATTTTCTTGCCAGCCCATTAATAGCAAGCAAAGCACATTTGACATTATCTGCTTGCCAAAATCTTCACCTGTTCACATTAGCACAACTAAAGCAATTGTGTTGCAGGTGGTGGATTCATTGGATTGCTGAATAGAGTTTTTTTCTTTAATTCATTGTAGTTTGGATTTAAATTCTTTTTTTTCTATTTATAATTTAAATGAATTTAGTGTAAGTTATTTATTGTTTGTCCAAAGAAAAAACTAAGAACAATTACGTTGTACACTCTTACATTTACGTTTTTGTTTCTATTTTCATTACATATCCACATACAAATATATTTTTTCTCAAAACACAACGTCTGTTATACTTTGAAGGCTTGTCGAATTGAGAAAATGTCATTTGTAGTCAATTTTTTTTTTTTTTTTTTTTCACTTTGATCCATTTTATTGCCATGTAGGGTACCCTAAAGTCTCTAAACTTTACATGGTGAGACTAACCCTAAATATCAACTGTGTCAATAAATAAGATCAATGTTGTAGAAATTTAATTATGAGTGAGATTGTCTCAGCGCATCCATCCGACATCGAGAATAATAATCTTTGTCTATATAAACGATTTGAAAGGAAATCGAATGAAGGACATCAGATACAAGGTTAAATATAGTTTGACACTAAGCTTGAAGTTATAGGAGAATAATAATAAGAGAGGAGAGGGTGAATGAGTAGCAATGATACATCCAACATGTGTAATGAGGGACCATATATGCATAATTAACTGCAGACTGTAGTGGAGACATTACATGTTTGGTAGTTCTGAAAGGCTGAATAAATCTGGTGTTTCCTAAAGCAAAAGTTAGAAAAGTAGAAAAGCCACCAACTTGGTGGATTCTGAAAAGTTCACATGGGGGTAGAAGAAGTGAGTAACAAAGCTATGGACTTCACATGCTTGATTTGATTGAACATTGAAGAAGTTATAGAACAGCCTAGAGATCCTCTTTCATGTGAAACCAAAACTCTGAGTTTTTAGGGTTTTTGTGCACCCAAATTCAGGTATGTATTTCATTTCTTCTGTCTGGGAGTCTGAGAGCTGGAAAAATTCCTTGCATGGTTTTGGTCCAAGTTCTACAGCAACAAATGACCGGATCTGGTTGACCTCAACCTGTCAAAACACTGTCATATATGGTACTTTTTTTATATTATTGTTAATACAACTGATTTAATTAATGTATTTTTATTAGTTTAGTTTCGTAAATTAAAAAAGAGGGTTACCTTTTTTTCCTAGACAATTTAGTAACGAGTTTGTTGATTGCATGTTCTTATAGTCAGTGTAATCCTTAATTTATTGTAGAAAAATGTGTTGGAATATACCCGTGTCCGTGGATGAAACAAGAATATCATCAAACGACAGAAAAACCCTCAACTGTTACTGATGGTGGGTTTTTATTGATCAAGTGAAGATTATATCCTTGGCACAATTAAACTTCATAAAAGTAAGGCTTTCTTTAGGCACACATAGTAAAGATTAGTGTTTGAAATTTTTTCGATATAGTTGATATTTTCAGCTAAAATTAACAGACTTCATCGATATTATCCAACATATCAATTAAATATCGATAAACTGTTATACGACATTCCTTAAAGTTTCATTTTAAATTTTCATATTTTTGAACAAATTTTCATCATTTCTATTTAAGACAATCGATATCGATATTAATAAGCCCATCGGTATTTTCATAAATTTGCATATCGATATTTATACTAATACCGTTATTTTAAACAATGGTAAAGACTAAACCCACATATGGTGATATAGCCAAGCTCGATTAACAGAAAACAATAAAAAACAAAAACAAAAGCAAACTTAAAACTACAAAACTCTCGTAGAAAGAATCCACAAACTCCGCAATACAATCTCAAATAGAGTGCATGCAATTTATATGAGTCGAACTACAAGTACAAAATGCATAGATTCGGTCTTATCAAAACACAACGGTCTTTCCTCTTTTGGCTCACACTAGTCAAATTTGTATTACGTGTGGAAAATCCGTAAATTACTTTTGTACCCTTCCTAAAAGGAATTAATCTCAACCTCTCTGTATAATCCAATTCGTTTACCTTATTTGCTTCACTCACTCTCATCGGTTATATAATTGTGTACTCATCGTCCTATCCATTCACCCATATTTTCTTAGTTATCTCAATTTTCTTTCATCCCAGCTCAAGTTTTTCAATCCAATCTTATCCCATCACAACTTTGCTCATCACGATGATAGCATCGATGTGATTCGACTTCGTGGCAGAAATCCAGTTCTGCCGCTAGTTTGAATCTTAACCATGTAAGTCGTGAGGGCGGTGAGTTGATGAGCTCATCCTTTTGTCATCAATGTCACTCGTCACCTCACTGCCCCTTGGTTCACACACAAGCCCTTAACCCTAGCGGCATGAGTCTTCTTCATTGTCATCATCATCACCACGGCGCCTCATGCCTAGTTCTGCTCCCGGCGGCTAGTTTAGCCCAAGCCGGAGGCTAGCGGTTTCTGCGAGGCAGTTGCATATAGGGTATGCATCCATACCATGATTTGACATTGATCCGGTCCAGTGATGCCTAACTTATCTCTTGCAGAAGCAGCAAGCCTCCTCTTCTTGGTGATCTTGGTCATGAGGTTTTGAGAACCTACATATCAAAATGTTGTAAGAACTGATTATCTTCTGAGAGGAACCACAAAAGTTGATTTTTGGGTCTTTTTTCCCGAAATTTATTTTATCATTTTTTGTTGTAGGTTTAAGTTTAACTGGATAAAAATGGCGTTGGCTCTTGGCTGGTAATTTGGAGTCACAATAATTAAAGCATTCAACGTTTGTGGTTTATTTCATTACGTGGATCACCAAAAGAGAAGGGCCTGCTGAGGCTGCTGGTGATCTGTTTGGAATAACTGGATTAATGTCAAACAGGGCGTGGATGCGGACTCTACGTGATAAGAGCCCCATCGGATTCGATAACCTCTGGCTTAGACATTAGACCAAGCTGGCTGTTTGAAGCGGAACTAGGCATGCAAGAGAGGTCACGGTGATGGTTATGGCAATGAGAGGAAGACTCTTGCTGCTAGTGCTAGGTTAACAATGTGTTGTGTGTGTTTCCTAACGGGCAGTACGGTGGGAAGGTGCAATGATGACAAAGGGTTGAGTCCATCAACCCAGTGCCCGCATCATGACTTATCTGATCGATTAAGATCCAAAGAAGAGAAGAACTGGAATTTCTCACAGGAAGTGGAGTCACATCAATGCTGTCATTGTGGTGATGGGTGGCAAAGAAACAAATTAGTGATGGGATGACTAGATTAAGAAACTTAAGAAGTTGGTTGATGAGAGAAAATTGAGCAAATTGAGGAAGTATGGGTGCATCGGGAGGAAAATGAGTACTCAATTATGTTTGGATTTTGTGATTTTAATTAAAAAGTAGTTATACTTATTGAGTATTACTATTGTGTTTGTTCTTTTTATTTATGTTTTTTTTTTTTTTTATCGCAATGGTGTTTGAATTTGATCGAATTAACTTCTCATTTTTGGTCCTTCACTTTTGAAAACGATTAATCTTATCCTTGAGTTTCAATGCCACACATCAAACTTTGGATTGCAGTAACTGTGGAGATTTACATACATTTTTAAGTGTTCTTTCGGAACTGTTGAGTTAGTACAAATGAGTTATTAATAATGTGGTATTTCGGAATCCATTCGGATTGCAATGTTGATATTTATATAATTTGTTGCCAACTAATATTTTAGAGGACCTAAGTTCTTTCAATGCTGACATCTTCTTGTTGGTCGAATTTGAAAAGGCCGTGCCGGATGAAGTGTGGGCTTCTGGAACTTCCGCAAGAGTTATTGAACTCAGCAATAATTCTATTCGAAATGTACCTGCAAAGATTGGTTGTCTAAGCTCCTTGCAGGTACATAACCCTCTGTTTCCTTCTCGTATTTCGCTCTATCGCCATCAAATTTGTGCCACAACTTTTACTTAGTTTCAATTCATTCTCAATATTTTGTCGAAATTGTTGCTCGCTGCAAATGATATAGTGGACGATTCTATTAGCTTGGAAGGACTAACCGTTCTGTCTCTGGAGCAAAACCAGTGAGTGTCTTTTGTGCTTTACAAATGTAGCTAACTAATCACGAGTGGCTTTCATTTTCTATCTCTGCACATTGTGTTGGATACTTGATGAATTGCATGATACATGCAGTTTAACGACGTTGCCATCTTCACTGGGCTTGTTGACATCACTGAGGCAACTCAATGTTGCCAAAAACAAATTATCTAGCCTTTGAAGTTCTGAAAGCCAACAACAACAGGTAATTTTGGAAGTAATATGAGCCAGGATGCCGAGGGCATGTGTCTTTCCTATTGAGTACTAGAGGATCAAATTCGGGTACCACTTGTTTTTCCTTGTATGTCTTTTCATCTGAATGTGATACGATTAATAAATTTTGAATGCGAATGCTTTTGTGTTACGAAAGTTGTTTCCTCTTCACGCGTCGATGATATGTTGATGAAGTCACTGTTGCTTAAAGATATCTGTGTTATGTTGATAAATGATAACATATATTGATTAAACACGCGTGTCTATGTTGCAGGATAAGCACCATCCATACATGTATAGGCGACTGCAATGCTCTTACTGAGGTACTACTTCGGCGTTTTCCTATTTTTTCTTTTCTTTTGGGTTATCTGTGGTGGGTGGAGGGGCGACTAGACTGTTGGCTCGTTCCCTCACTAGGTAGTTTAGTTATACATCTGACTTACTTTCCGCGTGGTGCAGGTTGATGTTTCGTCAAATCTTCTGTCCAAGTTGCCAGAGACAATGGGAAGTTTGCAAAATCTGAAGGTCCCTACTTAATCTACTGTTTTGAACTTCTTATCCGTCTCTCTTCTGTTTTACCCCCTTCAAAGTTGAGCAGTTCAGTTAATTAGTTAATGTTCCGTATCACACTAATTCACTGTTATAAAAATCCCCGTCTAGGCGCTAGGTGGCTAGTCATCATCCCGATTAATGTTTAGGTGTTTGAAAATTAAGAAATAGCACCTAGATCAGCTGAGGCATCCACCTAGCCCGCCTAGACCTACCTAGGCACTTACCTAGGTTGCGACTCACTTAGACAGAAAATAAATAATTTTCAATTTGCATTTAATTTTTTCAATAAATTGTAAGAGACTTGTTGAATACTTAAATGAACACACACTATATGCTTGTTTCCCATGTTTTCATTATGTTCAATACTTCATAATACATATGTCATTCTATTTTGTCTTTTATAATGAAATTATATATGTTTTAAGTATAAACAGACACTTATTTACACGAAATATAATAGATTTACTTAAATTCGCCTAGGCGCCCACCTAAACCCAGCTCGCCGCCTGACTAGCGCCTAGTGTCTTTTAGAACCTGGTGACTGATTACGTTTTTGCTGTAGTAGAATTTATTTAGTTATTCGTACGGCAGAAACCTCATTCGTCTTGTGCATTGTTGAGCTGATATTCACCCGAAGTTTCTACTTTAGTGCAGTCTTTGTATCTCAGCAACAACGGGTTGAGAGCCCTTCCCTCTGCGTTATTCAAAATGTGGCTACAGCTCACAACGCTTGATCTGCACAATACAGAAATAACCGCGGATGTCCTTCGTCAGGTACGTACTAGCAGCAAATGTCATTCTGTAAAGTAGTCTAATTTTTCACTTTTAACGGTGTGATACCGACAACGGTGTCTTCGCAGTTTGAAGGCTGGGAAGGCTTTGATGAACGCCGCCGGTTGAAGCATCAGAAGCAACTGGATTTCCGAGCTGTAAACTCCGGTGCGTTTAATGAAGGTGCCGATAAGAGCTGATGCCGCTAATTTCGGGATTACATGTCGCAATTGTGCAAAGTTGTTGTCCATACTCGGTGACATTTGTATCTAGATTTACAAAAGCAAGCTCCGATCTGATGTCTATGGTACTTGAATTGTTATAGAATCTAACAACGTCAGTATCTTGTTATCAAAAGTCGAGCACGAGAATTTACATGCATTTTTTCTGTCTATAAGCTTGAGTGTGTTCAATGTGCAAATATAAACAAGGGCCAAATCCTAAAAATGTAGTGTTCGCATCCGAGAATCACACACCGACGATCACCGGTGGACTCAAGAACACAACCTAACGGAAGTAGATGGATACCAGAGGGATGTCAACTTCGTTCCCCTCATCGTCCTCACAAGCCACAACAACATCGAAGTGGGAGCGGTTTGGAGACAGTTCCAAACCCCCCACTTCCCTAGCCAGATCCACCATCTTCTTGTCCATTCGGTCTTGGTGTCGTGCAAACATGGTATTATAAAGCAGGGAACTGGCATATGAGATGCTATAAGCATCCAGTCCTCTGTCCTTGAGCCACTGAATAAATTCTCTCAGAGTGGGATTGCCCCTCACGATCCACCTATCCCAAATGGTCCAGCTCATGTTACGGTGCTTGATGACCTTCACCGGAACTGGCTCTGCCATTGCGAACAAAGGTAGAGCTAGATTTGCAAACGTGTTTCTATAGTCTTCTAGTTTGTGGCCTCCGTCCAAAACTTTGTAAAGCTCCAGGCACACCAGTCCTGTGGCCATTGCCGTGGTGGTAGCAATTGCGGGGATAATCTTGCCGGCAATAAACTTGGCTTTCAGCTTGTCAACCTCAGGAATGCCGTAATTTCTAGCCCTCATATTGGCAAGCCCAGCTATCAGATCCATATGGTAATTTGTATCATCGTCCTTCTCGAACTGAATTGGTTTCATCCTGAACCCTGGTGAGAGTTTCTCTCGACAATGCTCTAACTTGATGATCAAGTCATCAATGACCTGTGCATCATCTGTAGATTGAGAAGTTAAATTGGTAGCATTATCGTCGGTCACTATGTTTGCATCTCTCCGGGGCTGAAATTCTGGGACCATCACTTTCTCAACAGCTTCAGCAAACTTCTTAGAGTTTCTAACCCAGTGGGGGATTGGGATCCCAAATGTTTCTGCCCTTAGTATGGATGCTGCCATAACAAAATTAAGGTGACCAGGATCAGCAGTTGAGAACTGTAGAGGATGGGGGAATCGCTTAGGGGCAGACCAGAATGGAGTCCCACTACTGGTTGTAGCATCTTCAGGAAAAGTATAGATCAGCTGTTTGATGCGGTTGTAAAAATAATCTTCAAACCTGTGTAAACAAAAATCAGGTGGGAATTAATGAACCACACCATCATTATAATTCAGGATTACAAAAGATGGGAGGAGCAAATGGAAAAGCGTATAATTTATTTATGTCAAGTAGCTAATGACTTACTTCAGGCGTGCCCATGCAATGCAATCTTGAAATGTTTCGCATCTTTCTCTATCAAGGCACTCAAGAATGCGCTCCAAGGTATCCCTGGCCTGTGCGTCACCAGCATTCCTCTTCGAAGCAGCATACTCACTTGGCTTGGCTAAATATGCATTCACTTCAGCTGGAGTTTTGCCAAGCAAGCCCTCAAACTCAGATCGAGCCCAAGTCAAGCAGTGGTCAATGTTGTGTGGAAATGAGTGCAAAGTGCACATGGGTGCTTGCTTCTCCGGTGGGTCTCTTGAGGCACCATAGTTTTCTGTTAGGAGAGGAATAACCATCTGAGTGTTGCATTTTGTGCCCAGTGTACCTGACTCGAGAAGTGGCTTCTGGAAATATAAGCACCTCTGATCAACATAGAGCCTAGCATTGACATTATCGAGTGCATTGATAACAACACTTAAATTCTCCCAGAAGGCATCATCAAACACATCCTCAGTTTCCGAGCTAACTCTATTCTGCAAGGCTTCGACATTGAGATAAGGATTTATAGATGCAGCAGCGGAGGCAGCAGCCGTGGATTTGGGCTGCCCAATGTTCCAATCACGGAAGAGGAACTGCCTACTAAGGTTACTCTTCTCAATTACATCATCATCAGTGACTGTTAGCTTCCCTTGCTTGCCACATGAAACTCCCATCAGGGCCAAATTTTTTAAGAACTCACATCCTAGTGCCCCAGATCCAACTAGAAATATTTTCGCATCCTCCAATTTCTTCTGTAGCTTGGACCCAAAAACTGAAATTTGTGCATCATAACGGCTATTTAATGGTTTCAAATCACTGGATTCCAGTGGCTCCGTAGGAAGTGATTCTACTGAGTCGAAGTAGAAGAACTGGTGGGAACAAGTTAAACATCAAGTTACTACGAGCAGTGAAAATAACTTACGGGGCAAAAAACTTTTTGGCTCTCAAATAATAGTCAACTCCAAGGGAAAGTATGAATGAACTCTTAAAACAATGGAGAGAGAGAAGAATGTGTAATGACCTGAAAGAGTGGATGGAACTTTCCAGAGCAAGCTTTTACAACCTCTTGACCCACAATACCACCAAACATGGCAGCCATGGGATTCAGTACCGCCTTTGCACCAAAGGCAAAGTGCCGCAAAAGTTTTGGATTAATATCTTCCATCTTACCACCTCCCAATTTTTCATTGATGTTACTAGCAATAGATATAAGCTTCTGTGCATCCTCTTCTGAACCAGCAACAGGGAATCGCCCAAGCTCAGACACAACTTTGTCCAGTGCTTGAAATGCCAAGTGTAGGAGTGGTGGCCGATCAAACTTGGAGAAATCACTAGGAAGAAATTCACCAGGATCATTGAGTGCTTCTCTCAATGACTTAAATTTCAAGACTTTTGGCTGCTTCACCTGTGTGACAATACCACCTTTCTCATAGGCACCAAACCTCGTGGTATCCTCCTCAAGAGTGAATGAGTAAGCCCTAGCATTTTTTATCCTTCTTGGTTTTCCATCATTTAGGTCTGTCATTCCATGAACCTCTGAGAACACAACAAGATCCCCATCCTGAAATTCAAGTCTCTCGTCGTCAACACATGACACTATAGCAGGGTTGTCATTGCTGATGGATGCAATTATACCCGTGTGTGGTTCCTCCCCATCAACATCAAAAACAGTGAACTCAGGTCCAAAGTCACAAAAGACAGAACCAAAAAGGCCTCTAGCTTCAGTTTTAATGAAGGCGATTGGGGGCTGATGATCATGTGTATAATCATCGAATTCAATGGCTTTTTCGAGACTGATGTCAGTGAATACAACAACCTACAAAAGAGTTTACAAACACACGATTTTTACATCCTCAAGCAAAGTACACGATCACTACAATATGAACTGCAAGCTAAATACCTTGAATAACTTCGATAATTGGCATACTAATCAAACAGTAATAATTAAATGAAAATGTACCTGGAAATTAGAAAGCTGCTCTTTGGTCAATTCAGTTGTCAAGGTATTAACAACCACAGCATTGTTGAGTTCCTGCAACTTTTGAACCGAAGCAAGTGCTCTGTTCTTACCCACATCGTCCTCGGAAAAAACAAAGTTACTAGACAAATCCCATAGCTCCACATTCCCTTCATCGTGCAAAGTCACAGACTTGACCCCAGCCAGAATGAGGTTCTTTGCTGCAGAAAGCAAAAGCCCGCATTAAAAAAACACCAGCAAAAGCAAAGACACACAAAAACTTGAAACAGGACAATCTAAACAGAATACATATTGCATTTACAATAGATAAGCGCCTCCAGAATACGAGAACAACTTCCATGCAACAGAAATGCCGCTATGGTGATTCTCAAGCCAATCACTACCGTGTGAGAAAGCTAAAAAAGGCATTGGCTTCGGAACCACCACAGTGGCATCCGTCCCGGTGTAGGTAAGTTTCTCTTCAAGAATACAACAGGATTCTAAATATGGTAAATTAAACCTACAGCCAGATAATAGATAAACACCTCCAGAATTCAGCATTTGTAACTCGCTAATTAAAAAACCGATTGAAAACGATAAATGTGAGGGTTTCCGAATTCCGTACCAATTTCAGCACCTAGACCTTGAATCCCTGAGATGAGAACATTCGACGCGAAGAGCCGCCGCATCGTCTCGCGGCCATAGACCGCGAGCTGCCGGCTGTGAAGGTCCTCGTCGATATCGGACTGGTTCGAATGGCCCAAAGCCATGATCGGCACGTCCTTCTCAACCACGCTACCGTGGTTGCTGCTTGCGAGGCTGCTGTTGTTGCTGACAGTAGATTCGGCAACGAAGTTGCCGATGCGATGCTTATTGATCGACGATAACGGGGCGGAGCTGCCGGTGTCTCCTCCTACTTCTACTTCTACAACGACTCCGTCCCCGGGTCTCTTTTTAGGAAGCATACAGTGCAGCAATCTGCTGAAAACGCCAGAAAAGGCGACCATCACCGAAACTAGCAAGCTCCAAACGAGAAAACGAGTGGTGAAAATTGAATTGGAAGCGTCGTCGGCGCCGGAGTAGGTTCGGAGAGCCAGTCCGAGAAGGATTGGGGCCGCCGAAGCCACTATGAGAAAGCGTAATTTGGGCATGATTCGATTCCAAAGCAAAGCAACAAAAGCGAGAGAGATGAATTAAAAAATTGGAGAGATATTAAACGTAGCGATTACTACTGTAAAAGGAAAAAGATTGGAATTTGGAATCAGAGAGAGAGAGAAGGTTGTGGGTTTATGCTTTGCTTGAGATTTTGGGTTTGAAACTTGAAAGTACTGGTTTTTTCTGGAACGATGAATATGTTAATTTCACGGTTTTTGGTGAAATGAAGGGTGTACAGTAAAAGCCGACGAAAAATCAACGGTCGGATTTTGTCCGTAGAAATAAGATCATTTTTAAGTTGCGTTAATGTTCGCCGGTTTACTCATTATCAATATTTAAAATTATCAATATTATCGAACGAGATTAAGATTTGAAATTTGTGCATATTCATTATATATATCTTAAAATTTATAAATAAAATGGTGAGTAAAAATATTCCTAATAATAAGCACCGTTGCAGGCTATATGTTCTAATAGAGTGAAACAATGGATGGTAAAACAAGGGATTTAAAAATAAATAAAACAATGCATTGGGAAGAAAAATAAAATAATGCAATGGATAATTGGACTTTGACACGTTGAATGCAAGAAGACGCAAAATTGTCACATAAGTCATCAAGTTCAAATTTGATGCTTGCGTTTGATATCTAACTTGAAATTTGGGAGATGTTATATTGGTTTAAATTTTCACATAGGTAATCTTTGTCATTTGTTGATACGTAATAAGTATATAACAATAAAATTATAGTTAAATTTAATAATATGTGTCAATCAATAATAATAATACAGGCATATAAAATGGGTGGAGAATATCTAAACTTGTGTTTGAGGCATTTGTTGTAAGATTTTGATTGATTGATGGTTAAATGTCGGTTGCTTTGGTTTAATTTTGTGTTTTTATTGTCGAAATTATGATTCTTTGTTAATGAGACCCAAAAATAACATGATTAAATTATGGGAGTTTTAACGAAAAATCTGTGGTACTATTCACTTTAATAAAAAATCACATTTTTACACTAAAAAATCAATCCTGATACTATTCACTTTACCTTTTATTTTGTCCTTATCATTAAAACTCAAAGTTTTCAAGCATTTTTCATTAGCTTCCTTTAAGAGGTATTCATCAATTTTCCCCCTAAACTTGTGACCATTAGCCAATTTCCCTCATCAACTTTAATTTTGGCCAATTTGCCCCCTCAACTTTCATAATTAGTCAATTTTCCCCCTCAACTTTAATTTAGCCAATTTCTCCCTTCAACTCTAATAACTAGTCAATTTGCACCCTATTGTGAATTTTTTAATTTGATAATAATTAAACAAGTATGTGTAAGAAACTAAATAAGATGTATGTTAATCATGTTCCTATATCTTTATCCTATTGCTAATAGATTAAAATTTAGAATTTTACAATTTATCATAAATAGTGTTATTAGTCATAATAAATCAGTATGGAGTAATTTTATTTGATTTTTGACTATACAAAATTGATAACGAAAAGGATTGATGTGTAAATTTTTGTATGTGAATACAATTTTCTTTATAAAAGTGAAAGCTAAGTTCAAGTAAATTGCGGAGAATCGAGCTTTAGTGAAAAAATGGCTAGTCTATTCATAATTTTCGACTCCTTATTAAGAATAACCCATTTTATTGAAATATGTTTGATCCATGAGTTTAGGATTATTATTTCTTTTTGTTATTATTTCTTCTTCTACATGCTTTAAACCCGATTCATAACTTTTTCTTATAATCAACCCATATCACATACTAATTGTATTATGTTTTTGTACATTTTACCCTATATTATGCAAGTGAGTTTATATTAATTTTAGTACTTTGTTGGAAGTTATTAGAAAGATTGAAAATTAAAAAAATATATATATATGGAAAATTATAAATAAATAAAAAATAACAGTATGGTGCAAATTGACTAATTATGAGAGTTGAGGCGGGAAATTGGCCAAATTAAAGTTGAGGGGGGAAATTGACTAATTATGAGAGTTGATGGAGGAAATTGGCCAATGCTCACAAGTTCAAGGGGGAAATTGAAGAATACCTCTTCCTTTAAATTATACATACACTCCAATCCTGATTCAAACTGCGGGATTCTAGAGATCCTCACATCATAACCATCTATCATACATTATGCGATCAAAAATCAGTTTGAATTTTTTTATTTAAAATTAAACATAAATAGTACTTAACAAAAATTAACCGCACAATACACAAATAAACGATCATGATGTGAAAATTCCTAAAATACCATAATGAGAATCGGGGGGATCCTCATCCCTCCGTTTTGGTCCCTCCCATAAACATACCAAAGGAAAACAAACAAAAACAAATTCCATCACTCTCACAGCTTGTAGACCCACCACCAGACAATTCCTTTCCCCTTATATTTTTGGGAGTTTTAACGAAAAACCCACGATATTGTTCATTTTAACAAAAAAATCATATTTTTACACTAAAAAGTCAAACCTGGTACTATTTACTTTACCCTTTATTTTGTCATTATCATTAAAACTCAAAGTTTTCTAATTCTTTTCATTAGTTTTCATTATATTTTTTTGTCAAAACCACAATTTTCCTTCCAGTTCTGTCTAAAAGTTGCAAGAGAGTCTCACACGCAAGAAAAAAAGCTTTTGCTTGACTGGCCATATACCATATACATCTTAGCAGCAATTCGGTGCGACTGTACAACCATGTGATCTAATAAGTAGATTTTAGAATTTATCCACATACAGGGATAAAACGTACCTGAGCCTGTGGAATTAACAAATTTTACCATTCCTTTGAAACCCATATGCTACTTTTAGACCGAAACTAGGACGCAAATTGCAATTTTAACTGCGATTGGTGACAGACTTCACGACATGGATAGTGTTAGTACTTGATTTACCGCGTGGGTCACCTTGAGACATGCCTATAACCCACCTACATGATTTGACCAATTTCCAGCCTAATCTATTATGTTACCTCATAAACATACAATAATCTTAATCTTTAATTAAATAATCTGAATTGCCTAATCAATCATCATGACACTGTTGAGAGTTGTCTCACATGGATGAAGGACAATGTTTATTATGTGTTTATATGATCTTGAGATGCTCTTTATATTGCCAATTGGATTTATGGTGAAACCTCAATTTCATCATGATATTAGAGTGGGTTGTCCTTGTATGAAGCCAAACGGCCACACGTGCTCCACGTCATCCAGTTGTTGTCCACATCTAGGCTTGAAAGTCCGCCACACATGCAGGAGTGTGTTGAGAGTTATCCCACATCAATAAGAGATAAAGTTTACTATAATGCTTATATGATCTTGGGCTATTATGTTACCTCATAAACATACAATAATCTTAATCTTTAATTAAATAATCTGAATTGCCTAATCAAACATGATGACACAAGGAAGGCAAATGATTTGAATATTCTCATTTCCCACCGCTAAAATCATAACAACATTGAATCATAGTGCGTTTGGTAAAGTAAAATTCTAAAGTGACCGAATAAAATATCCAGTTTTTCTTTCGAGATAATTGAAGCATTCATCATTTAGCACAATTGGAGCTTTGGACCCTTAAGTAAAAATTCACGAATATTGATCCCTGAACTAATAATTTGGAGCAATGGTTCTTTTGACTAACTCTGTTAGAACTTTTATCCATTTTTTGCCCCTTTAAACCCTTTATTTTGGAAGGAAGTTCTAACAACGTTCGCGAAAATGATTACTGCCCCACATTATAACAAGTTAAATGCTCAATACTCACGGATCTTTGGTTGAGGAACCAAAGCTCGAATTGAGTCAAAATTGAGAGACCATAGCTCCAATTTTTTGTTTTCTTTCTCTTTTTGCCCTTTTGTAGAGAGAGAGTTGAAAGAAGATATTTTTTTTTCATTTCAGTTACATAAGCTTTTCTTTGCATCTAATAATAAGTACCGTTGTAGTCTATATGTTCTACTAGAGTGAAACAAGGGATTTGAAAGGAAATAGAACAAGGGATGGTAAAACAAGGGATTTGAAAGAAATAAAACAATGCATTGGGAAGAAAAATAAAATAAAACAATGGTAACAGTGGATAATTTGGACTTTGACACATTGAATGCAAGAAGACGCAAAATTGTCACATAAGTCATCAAGTTCAAATTTGATGCTTGCATTTGATATCTAACTTAGAGTTTGGGGAATGTTGTATTGGTTTAAATTGTTACATAAATAATCTTTATCATTTGTTGATATGTATTAAGTTCATGATAATATTAAATTTGATAACACGTGTCGGTCATCGTAGGGAGACCGCGGGTACATAATATCTAAACTTGTATTTGACGCATTTGTTGTATGATTTTGATTGATTGATGGTTAAATGTCAGTTGCTTTGATTTGATTTTCTGTTTTTATTGTCGAAATTATGATTCTTTGTTAGTGGGACCCAAAATAACATGATTACATTATACATACACTCCAATCCCGATTCAAACTATAACATCTCATATCGTCCAAAGTAGATCCTGTAAGCTTTATATATATATATATATATATATATATATTCCCTCCCTACTTAGGACGAGGTCTTTTGGGAGTTTATTGGCTTCGGGTTCCATGGGAACTCCGAAGTTAAGCCAATAGCGCGCGAGAGCACTCCCATGATGGGTGACCCACTGGGAAGTTCTCGTGTGAGTTCCTAGAAACAAAATCGTGAGGGCATGGTTGGGGCTCAAAGCGGACAATATTGTGCTACGGTGGTGGAGTGGCACTCCCATGATGGGTGACCCATTGGGAAGTTCTCGTGCGGCACTCCCATGATGGGTGACCCATTGTGAAGTTCTCGTGTGAGTTCCTAAAAACAAAACCGTGATGGCGTGGTCGGGGCCCAAAGCGGAAAATATCGTGCTACGGTGTTGGAGCGGGCCCGGGATGTGATGGACCCCGGGCGGGGATGTGACACAAACTGTGAGATTCTAAAGGTCCTCACATCTTAATCATTTATCATACATTGTGTGACCAGAAATCAGTTTAAATTTATTATTTAAAATCAAACATAAATAGTACTTAACGAAAACTGATCGCACGATGTACAAAATTCCTAAGACCCCGCAAAGAGGATCAGGGGGATCCTCATCCCTCCGTTTTGGTCTCTCCCATAAACATACCAAAGGAAAATAAACAAAAACAAATAGGAAAACTAATGAAAAGGGC